CTCTCTCTCTCTCTCTCTCTCTCTCTCTCTCTTTCTTTCTTTCTTTCTTTCTTTCTTTCTCGATTTGGTTTGACTCCGTGTGCCTTCCTATAGCTGGCTAAATTTTATTTTATTGATTGATTGAAAAGATTGATGCAACCGCCCATCTTAAGCAACTCTGGGCGGCCCATGATTTAATTTGCTTTAAGGTTCGACGCCGCCTTTGAACCCAGAAAATGGATCCAGTTAGGAATCGGTGTAGTGTTAGTGGATGGTGGCAAATATCAGGAGGAATCTGAGAGCACCTTTTCCTCTTTTTCTGGAGACTGAAAGTTTAAGGAAGAAAACGAAGTGGATGACAGAAACCCATACAGTGCTAATAATCAATAGATGAAAGTTGATTATCTGCTATCCCTTCTCTAAAACATTTTTAATTTTTTAAGAAGCCTGCTGCAAAAGCCCCAAAAATCTCATTTTGTATTGGTTCAACCGAGCTGGTGGAAGCTACCATTTTTGAAACAAATTCCAACAAACTAAAAAAGCTTGCAGTTTTTTTTAAAGAATGAAACGGTGGATTTGATAGCTTCATGTTATAAAATCCAAAAATGTAAAGCACGGCTCAAAATTAAGCCTTGGAGTGACCTTTATTTCAACGGTTGTGAGCTCCGGCCGTTTAATAAAATTGGTGAGTCAGAAAAAGTGCTCCTAGATTCATCCTGTTGACTTGGTCAACTTGTCGACCCAGCTTGAATGAGCCATCGTAATCTCTCAATGCTTTGAGCTCCACAGCTTGGTTGTGGGCTTTGGGGATGATGGGGCTTGTAGTCCCCTCTTTGGAGAAAGGCAGATTGGTGGCTTAAGACAGCGATGCAGACACCGGGAGGCCAAAGCTATCGTCCAACATATCTAAAGGGGTTAGTGGGTTGCTGCTGAACCCCCCAAGCGTCCAATCCTGTCTTAAAGATGGCCACGCTTCAGGCAACTTAGGTTTCCTGACCCATAATTCCATAATTCCACAGAGAATCATCCATTTCTACTTTTTCCAATGTTGGATCTGCGTCCCCTCCGTGTCCAGCAGGCACAGCCGTTGGCTAAGGATGATGGGGACGGAAGGGCCAGGCCGTCACAAAACCGGCATGCCGTCAAGCAGCTTGCAAAGGCAAATCTTGTGCCCTAAAGAGCTAGTCTAAAACATTTCTCTACGTTTTATTTACGAAATGTATACGCTGCCTGTGTGGGATTGGCTCTGGAGAACATCTTCCCTGTGGATTTTCAATTTTATGCCCAGTTCTAAAATGCCTGGGCAAAACGATGGGCTTTAAATCCTACCCAATACGTTGACGTGAGTTGATGGGGCCTTAATCACGTTCTTCTGAGTCAAACCGAAGTTCTGATGATTGAATGAACAAAATCCCCCATTTTGGTTTCTCCCTGCTGATAATGCGCAGCTCTTTCAAGGACATCTCAGGGGCCCGCCTGTTTATCGCGTCCCTTATCTTCCCCTCCTTCAGCCCTCGACCTTGCCAACTATTGTAATTTCTTTCTAGTTAATTCATCATCCCCGGCCCAAAGTCTGCTCAGTGATCCAGGAAACCCTCCGCTTTTCACTCAGCCCTTATTTTCTTCTTCTTTTTTTAATACTGGGCTTTCCTGACCCTCTCCAAAACATTAACTATCAGGTGATTTGGTGAGTTGCCCGGAAGAAAGCGTTTGGCATCCAGACATTTAGCAGGTGG